GTGATGCTGCTGCTGCTGCTGATGATGATGATGATGATGCTGATGTTGTTGCTGATGATGATACTGATGCTGATGCTGATGGTGCTGCTCATGATAAGGATGCTGATAATAATGATGATGCTGCTGATGAGGATGCTGCTTGTGCTCGTAAAGATGAGGATGATCATGATGATGCTATGGATGATGATGTTGATGATGCTAATGATGATGTTGTTGATGATGATGATGATGCTGCTGATGCTGCTGGTGGTGATGATGACGATGATGCTGATGATGAAGATGATGATGCTAATGATTATGATGATGCTGCTGCTGATGACGACGATGATGATGATGCTGCTGATGATGATGACGTTGATGACGATGATGATGATGATGCTGATGCTGATGATGATGCTGATGATGATGATGATGCTGATGATGATGAAGATGCTGATTCTGCTGCTGATGATGGTGAGGATGCTGCTTATGCTGCTGCTTCTGATGATGATGATGCAAATGATGATGATGATGATGATGATGATGATGATGATGATGATGATGATGATGATGATGATGATGATGCTGATGATGATGATGATGATGATGATGAGGATGATATTATGATTATGAATGATGATGATGATGATGATGATGATGATGATGATGATGATGATGATGATGATGATGATGATGATGTGATAATGATGATGACGATGACGTCAGCCAGGTGCCCCCAGTTCTCAAGGGCCGCCGGATTAGGGCGAGTATGAAGATGATGACGGCGATGAAGTAGTCAGAGGGATGAGATGAGAGGAGGAGGAGGAGGGGGGGGAGGAGAAGGAGGGGAGGAGAGGAGGAGGAGGGAGGAGAGGAGGAAGGGGGGGGGGAGGAGGGAGGAGGAGAGGAGAGAGGAGGAGGAGGAGGAGGAGGAGGAGAGAGGAGGAGGAGGAGGAGGAGGAGGAGGAGGAGGAGGAGAACAGGGAGGAGGACAGGGAGGAGTCTGGACCCCCCTACGCGCGCGCCGCGCGCGAACCGCCGCCTCCCTCTTGGCTCCTCCTCGATACTCCTCTGTCCTTTTCGATCCCCGTCGATCCTTCTCGTCCTTGATCATCGATCCTCGATCCTCCCGTCGATCCTTCTCGTCGACCCTCGTCGATCCTTCTCGTCCTTCTCGTCGATCCTCGTCGATCCTTCTCGTCCTCGATCCTCCTTCGCCTCCCCCATGGCAGTCGCCCCTTTGGGCTCCAGGTCGCCCCCCCCCGGCGCGCGCGCCGCCCCCCCCCCCCCCCTTGGCCCCCCCGCGTGGCGCCGCCCACCGGGCGGCGATGGACCCCCGCGTCGCCGCCTGGTGGGGCGGCCTCCTCGCGGCCATCTCGGGGAAACGTAAGGCTCGAATGCGCTGGAACTTGGCACGCACACGAGGTCTTACGTGGCCTGAGTGTGGCTCCCTCGACCCCTCGGGCCTCTCCTGCCGTCCTCGCCTCGCGCGTCCCCTCTTCCGTGCACCTCGCCGTGCTCCTGCGCGCCCCGCCGCTGCTTGACAGCCGCCTGCTTCTCTTGCGGCCGCTGACTTGAGGAAAAGGAGTTCGCAGGAAGTCGGACGTGCCGGCGCCTCTTGACGAGCCCGTCCTGGATCCTGACGCTCCAGTTCTCGTGGGATGCCTCGGCAGCGGGGGGGTCGCGTGAAACTTCAGACTGGGTCTCGCCGTCTTCCTGGCGGCCCTCGTTGTCTTCCTGGCGTCTTCCTCGGTCAGGCCAACCCGCTCCTCCTTTCTCGCTGCCGGCTCCTCCTCGCTCCTCGCTCCTCCTCCTCGCAGGGAGGGAGGGAGGGAGGGAGGGGAGGAGGCATGGAGGGAGTGGGAAGGAGGGGGGAGGATGGAGGATGGAGGGGAGGGGGGGTGAGGGGGAGGGAGGGGGAGGGTGAGGAAGGGAGGGAGGAGGAGGGAGGAGAATGAGGGAGAGGGAAGGAGGGAAGGAAGGAAGGGAGGGAAGAGGGAACGAGGGAAGGAGGAAGGAGGGAAGAGGGAAGGAGAGGGGAAGGAGGGAATGACGGAAGGGGAAGGTAGGGAAGGAGGGACGGAGGGAAGAAGGGAAGAGGAACAGGAGGAGGAGGGAGGAGGAGGGGAGGAGGAGGGAGGAGGAGGGAGGAGGGGAGGAGGAGAGGATAAGCAGGAGCAGGAGGAGGAAGGAGGAGGAGGAAGGGAGGAAGAGGGAGGAGAGGACGAAAAAAAGGAAGAGGAGGAGGGAGGAGTAGGAGGAGAGGGAGGAGGAAGAGGAGGAGGAGGAAGAAGAGGAGGAGGCGAGGAGGAGTAGGGGGAGGAGGAGGAGGAGGAGAAGGCAGGAGGAGGGATGATCTCCTCGCTCCTTCTCGCTCCTCGCTCGTGCTCGCCGCGCGGCCCCGCGGGCGCGAAAGCGAAGGAGGCGCCGCCGCCGGCCGGGTGCCCCGCGGGGCCAGGAGCGCGGCCAGGTGGCCGCTGCGACCCCCGGCCGGCTGCGGGGCCGCCGTCCGCCAGCGCCACGCCGATTTCTCGAGCAGGGGATCGCCCCAGAATTGATTTCCCGTCGAATCTGCGAGACATGCGCAGGCTGCTCCGTAGATCTGGGGGGCACTCTGCGCATTGTTCGTAGGCTCGACGGGAGATCCATCTCGGGGCAGAGCAATTCTGCAGTCGATCCCCTGGTCGAGCTCTGCTGGGCTGCGGGGAGCGAGAAGGGGGGAGCGCCTCCCTCCTCGCTCCAGCAGCCCAGCCAAAGTCGGGGCTGCGGGGAGCGAGCGGCGTGAGACTTTGGCGGGTCCCCTGGGCCCGAGTCTCACGTCTCCCCCGGCCAGCGCCGCCAACGTCGCCGGGCTCGCCTGGGTGCTGCTCCGAGTGCCGCCAGGCAGGCCCGCCTCCGCGTACCGCTGTGCCCTGAAGGCGCTGGCGGTGCCGATGGTGCTGCAGTGCGCCTGGCGCTCGGCGTTCCCCTCGCGGCGGTTCCCAGGATGGGGCCCCGAGGCATCCGCGAGCAGCGAGCCCTGCACTGGCAGGGGTATGGCGGCCTCCAGATGCGAGCGCACTCGCTATCCCCTCCAGGTGGGACAGCTGCTCGGCGCACCCGTTAGCCCACACGGTGGGATAGCTGCGCTGCCGGGTCGCGCCGCGCGCGCCCATGGCCACGTCGAGCACGGATGCGCCCAGCGAGCGGCGAAGGTATTACTCAAGAGGGAAAGAAGCACACAGACACAATTGATCGTCGACTCCCAGGAAAATATGGGAAAATATGGGAATTGGGGGGGAAGACAAAACACAGAAAATATGGGAAAATATGGGGGATCCTGTTATTTGTATGTATTTATTTGTGTGTCCCAGGGCCCCTTCAATTACGACGGGAGGTTTTTCTGCGGTTTTCGGCCTGGAGGCCCTCACCGGGCCTCGGGGCCGTCTGAGAACGACTCGGGATGAAGAGCCGGTCCCGGGGAATAGGTCGATACCTCTGGGGGTCGACGTCATGACAAAAATCGTGATCTCGGGGTCCGGAGGAGGAGCAGGAGGAGGAGGAGGAGGAGGAGGAGGAGGAGGAGGGGGAGAGGAGGAGTAGGGGAGGATTAGGAGGAGGAGGAGGGAGGATGAAGGAGGAGAGAGGAGGATGGAGAGCCCTCGGTCATCCCCCCTCCAGGGGTCGACGCCACGACAAGGCCATGGCGCCGGAGAGGTCCGAGGCCGCACCCTCGCGGCCCAGGCTCCCGGGCGCGGTATCCGCGGAGGCGCGGGCGCACGGAGGCGGTGCCGCCTTGGGCGGCCGCGAAGCCGAGGCGCCCCGTGTGCGCAGGGTCGTGGCCCAGGGGCCCAGCCCGCGAGGCCGCGGCTACGGATCTGTTCTGCACGAGGCTCCCCCCTCCTCCTCCTCCTCCTCCTCCCTCCTCCTCCTCCGCCTCCTCCTCCTCCTCCTCCTCCTCCTCCTCCTCCTCCTCCTCCTCCTCCTCCTCCTCCTCCTCCTCCTCCTCCTCCTCCTCCTCCTCCTCCTGGGGGGAGGCGTCTGCGTCTTCCTGTTCTGCACAAGGGATTGCAAAAAGGATCGCAAAAGAACCTGGACGAAGGATTGCAAAATGGACGAAGGATTGCAAAAAAACCTTGTTTTTTTGCACTCCTTCGTTCAAAAAGGTTTTTTTTGCAATCCTGGGTTTTTTTGCAATCCTTCGTTCAAGGAGGGGCACGGAAAGACTGGGCACAAGGCTCCACAGCGGAGGGCACCAACTATACACCAACACCGATCCTGGCCCAGGATCACCCTGGGCCCAGGATCGGTGTACATGCCTTCTTGCGCAAGGCAGGAGGGCGAATACACCGATCCTGGGCCCAGGGTGATCCTGGCCAGGATCGGTGTTGGTGTATAGTTGGTGCCTTCCTACCACAGCAGTTCCTGCTCATTTTGAACAGGATGATTCGCTGTCCGCGCCGCCGCGGCCTGTGGCCACTTGAGACGGGAGGCCGCCTGCCCAACCAGCGGCCGCTGTTGGTTTGGGGCAACATTTGTTGTTGGGCATTGTACCCATTTTTTCCGTACCCATTTCGGGCGTCCAAATCTGTTATTCGCGGACACTCGCACGCGTTGTTGGCCACAGGAGGATGTGTGCGAGCTGATGGGAAGCCCTTGAGCCGGTCGACAGCTTCGGTTGTTCGGCGCTGAGTGGGATGAGCTGTTCTTTGGTGTTTCTTGCGACGCTTAGCGCAACCCTCGGGAGCAAAGCAAACAAAAGAATGTTGTTCGCCCATAGCGGGCGTACGCCCCGCGTTTAAAACGGAGTTTTTTTTTGGAGCGGCATTGGGTCATGCGGCACGTCTCTGACAGCCGCCGCCCGGCCTGCCGCACCCAGGTCATGGCGACTTTTGCAGGTGCAGAGCTTAAGAGCTGGGTGCAGCGTGGGAGGCCTGCGACAGCGAGCGAGTCAGGGGTAGCCAGACGAGCTGGCGCGACCCACGTCCTGGCGGCCGGCCAAGCGGTAACAGCCGCGGGCCGCCGCATAGGACGTGCTACAACATAAATGCAGCATTCAGGAATCGAGTAAGATTCCTGCAGGGAATTCCTCGCCGCACAAGAATGCTCTTCGCCCGCGAGGGATGGGGCTCCGATGGCGAGGGGCCTCGAAAGGTGTAGATTCAACCTTGAATCCCTTCCTATCATTCGGGCCCCATCCCTCCGGGTCCCACCTTCGAACCGCCGACCCTCGCTGTACATGCAGCGGTTCGCGTTCTGGGACACGCAGCTCAACGCGATCCTCGTCGACCGGACCTGGGCGTGCGCGGGGGAGCTCTCGTGGAACGCCGCCCTCGCGGCCGTCTTCCTGCGCCTGGACCGGGAGCTGACCGGGGGGACCGCGTGGGTGCGCGCGCTGACGGCGGCGATGTTCCTGACGTACGTCGTGGCCGAGTGCATGTCGTACTACAACACGGCGACGACGAACCAGCTGTGGGGCGCGGCGGAGGTCGCCACGGACGCCGCGTCGCAGCTCCTGCTGCTGCCCGCCGCGCTGCGCCTGCTTGCGGCGGTGCCGCGGGGGCGGCGGTGCGGGTCTGCTGGCGTCTTCCTCGCCGCCTTCTCTCGGCGGCTCCAAGATGGGGCCCCGAGGGCTGGGGCCCCGCCTCCATTCAGGAGGGGGAAAACACACAGACACAATTATTCTTCGACTCCCAGAAAATATGGGAAAATATGGGAAGTGGGGGGGGAAGACAAAAAACCCTGAAAATATGGGTGTATATATATATATATATATATGGATTTTGATTATTTGTGTGTGTTTATTTGTGTGTCCCAGGGCCCCTCCATCCATCCCTCTTCCTCATGAGCAGCTCCTCCCTGTCGCACCTGCAGGCGTGCGGACAGGTCGGGCCGGGCGTGCCGCCCGAGAGCTCCTCGCCATCTGTGACCTTGGCGCACGGTTGTCCTCAACGTTTGCAGCAGCGTCGAGGACGGAGGGAGGTCTTCTTTCAAGTGTGACTCGCCCGTCAGCGCCGCGCACGTTCGTTCTAAAAGTGTGCAGCACTTTCAATATGGAGGGCGGCTCCTTTGCAGAATGTGGCTCTCGCCCCAGCGCCGCGCGCATTCGTTTTCAAAGTTTGCAGCAGTTTCAAAGATGGATGGCGGCTCCTTTTCAAAAGGTGGCTCTCGCCGTAGCGCCGCGCACATTCGTTGTACAAGTTTGCGACAGTTTCAAGGATTCTATGGTTGAAGTCCCGGGAACTATGTTCCGGCGCGGTTTAGGAATGTCGCAACAGGTACGTGGATCATTGGCGTTGAAGTCCCAGGAATAGTGTTTGGGCACGATTGTGTATTCTCAGACGGTTGTCTTCCAATGCGCCACTTCCCGCAATGCAGATATTTTCTTTGGGGCCCGTGAGGAGGGAATTTGTAGTGAGGGTTGATTGCGGCATCGTTGATACGTGTTGGGGTTACACTGGTCCTCCTCCTCCCCCTCCTCCTCCCCCTCCTCCTCCCCCTCCTCCCCCTCCTCCTCCTCCTTCTCCTCCTCCCCCTCCTCCTCCTCCCGATCCTCCTCCGAGGGCGAGAGCCTCGAGCAGTGAAGGCTCAGCCTCCCCCCCTCCCTCGGGGCGCCTCATCCTAGAACCGCCGGCTCTCCCTCTTCGCGATCGGCCTGTCGCTGTACAACTTCTGGGTGGGTGTCCCCATGTACCTGCGGCGCTACCGCGAGGACCAGCGGCGCGGCAAGCGCTACCTGCCCTTCGCGGCGGGCCTCCGCGACGCGTGGTCGCGGCGGGTGCCCACGCGGGCGTACGAGGATTGGCGCGGGGACATGCGGGGGAGGCCAGGCGCACCCCAGAACAGGCGTACCCTGGAGAGGGAGCGCCGCCGCCGTCGCCCTCGCCCTCGCCTTCGCCGTCGCCGTCGCCGGCGGCGGCGCCGGCGGCTGCGTCATCGTCGAGGTCGCCGTCTCTGTCGCCTCAGGGCCCACTTCGGGGCGCCCCGCGGCTTCGCTCTGGCGCCCGCCGTGGCTGGAAACGCGGCCGCGGCGACGCCTCACCGGGGGCACGCCGTCCTGGGGGTGCGCTCGGCACCTCCCCGAGCCGTGCAGTGGATGGCGCTGTACTTCGTCGGCAACCCGCTCGCCTCCCTGCTCGTTGCCGCGTCGGCGCCGAGCGTCGGCGGGGGCGGCGGCCGCTGGGCGCCGGGCGTGGTCGAGGCCGCGCTGCTGTAGGCGGCCGCGGCGGCAGCTGCGGTGGCCGTTTTCGGGGCCGAGGTGCCCTCGGCTCGGGAGCCGGCCCTGGAAACGGAGTCGAAGTGCCAGCGGTCCGCTCCCTCGCACAGTGGTCCATCATATTGCTCGCTGGTGGCGCTGAGATGCCCTGCTGCTCTGGTCCGTGCGAAAGCCCTGAGATCCGACGGCGCGAAAAAATGAAACATCGTAATACATCACGACTGGATTGTTCTGGTGCATTTTTCGAGCCGGATCGATCTGTGAGGGTTTCGGGGCCCGAAAAACCTGGCGAACACACCCAGCCCGAAGATTTGAAACGCCCGAGTCTCAGGGCAATGGCACCTCCTCCCTCCCCCTCTCCCTCCTCCCCCCCAGACCCCCGACGTCGTGATTCTTTCATGGCGTGGACCCCCATCGGTCTGGACCCGTTCCCCCAGCACGGGCTTTTCATCCCGAGTCGTTGCTTGACGGCCCCGAGGGTCGGTAAAGGGCCCCCAGAGGCCGAAAGCTGTTTCGGGGGCGGCAAAGAGGGGGGTGATGACTTGGGGGTGGGTGGGTATCATGGCGGGGGCCATGATAGTTCCCCAGATTTCATGGCGCCCCTTCTTATTTCATTACGTCCCCAGCCCCCCCGCTGGGCCGCGCACATGCCGCCGGTCATGATTTGCACCCCCCCCTCTTGGACACCCCCCTCTTGGCCGCTCCCGACAGTGAGACACCTCCCGTCGTGACTTTTTTCATGACGCGCGCGCATGTTCGGCTCTCGGCTCCCGCGTCGGGCCTCCAGCGGCCGCTCGGGCCGATCCGCGCACGCCTGGAGCGCCCTCGGCGATGCGCAGCTGCTGGAGAGCATCCCGAGGCGAGAACACCGCCAGGGCTGAACGAAAACCTCCGCCGAAGTCGAGTAGGGGATCGACAGCAGCGTTGATTTACCCCTGACTTAGTAATCTTGCTGAACTCTCGAACAAATACGCAGGATGCTCGCAGATGTGCGGCTCGTTCTATGTATTTTCAGTCGATTCTACGAACAAATGAATTCTGGGGCAAAGCAATCCTGTAGTTGATCCCCTGCTCGAAGAAGGTCGAGGGCGTCTGGGTCGGCCGCTGCCCGCGCTGACGCGCCGCCGCGGCTCGCAGGCCCCGCTGGCCTCCAGGGGCCCCCCGCGGGGGCGGCCGGCGCCGGGCGGCGCCCCGCGGCGGCCATGACGTTCAAGATCATGGTCTCGGGCCTCAAGAGGTCCTCGCCGAGGGGAGGGGTAGGAGGAGGAGGAGGAGGAGGAGGAGGAGGAGGAGGAGGAGGAGGAGGAGGAGCAGGAGGAGGAGGAGGAGGAGCAGGAGGAGGAGCAGGAAGAGGAGGAGGAGGAGGAGGCGAAGGACGAGGGGGAGGAGGAGGAGCGGAGGGGGGGGGGGGGGGGG